GTTGTACTTCGTCTTCTCTTGTTGAGCCTCAACTTTCTACACCTTTTGAATCCCTTATTGCTAAATTTGAATCTCAAATTAGGTGCATTGAACTTGATAATGAGCTTGGGCTTAGTAAGAAAATGATTCTTAATTCTATGAGAGGTCGATTAGAGATAATGAAAAAAAGGAATGAGGAGCGTCTTGAGGAGGAAAGGAGAAGAAAAGAAGAGTTAGAAAGCCAATTGTCACCCTTGATTCTTGTTTGTGAAAAATCCCAATTTAATGTGTGTGTTGAGGATGATGATGATGATTTTGAGCAACCAAGAGAATGTGAGGATCCCATTGGTGAACATATGAGTGATGGTGAAGGAGTTGAGAATGAAGAGAGTGTTGATTTTGAAAATCCTAACCCTCTTTCCCATCTTGATGAGTCTCAAGTCCATGATTGTGATCCTTTTATCCATGAGTATTTGGATTCATTTGAGGTTATGTCCAATGTGTTTATTGAGTGTCAAATGAAAACCAACAGCCTTTTGAGTGAGTTCATTAAGAATGCTTCATGTGAGAGATATGATTTTGAAATGAATTTGCATCCATTCATGCATGGCTGAGATTTTTGGCTTTAATGAAGTTGAGGGAGTTGTTGTTCATGATTGTAGTGAAGGGGATTATGTAGTTTCTCTTGGAAGTTGGATGTTTGAGGGAGATCATGATCATGAGTGTTCTTCTTTTGAGGATTCTATGATTGATTTTCATGCTCAAATTGGTGATTTGAGGAATGGTGGTGAAGAAGATACCATTTGTGAGACTATTGCTCCTATCCCTTCCTCTCATGTCCCTTTTTCAAGGAATTTCAACCATATCCCCTACACTCCTATATCATTTCCTTCCTTTTTTAATGAGCCTATTTGGGACCCCCTTGCCTATGAAGATTTTCATGTCCCTCATTCGTCTTCTATTGAGGAAAAGGGTGATTTTGCCACCCAAAAAGATTTTTGTGAAGAGAGTTTGCCTTAGCTTTCTATTCTTCTTCTTACTTTCTTGAATTTTCTTTTGATTCTTCTTCTTCTTGGCAACTCCCTCTTCACTTTCTTTTGTGTGCACTAATCTTGGTGCATGCTCTTTTTATATCATTTGCCTACTTGTTATCTTATGAGATGTGTAGTAGTGCATTTGACAAGCTCTTGCGATCGTTGCAATATTATTTACTAGAGCAGTCAAGCTTGGACCTTAAGCAAGCCTTTCTCGGAAAGTAACCCGTGTTTTATTGCTTTCATTTTCTTTTCTTTTTAGAATAGATTTTATCTCATGGAAATATTTGGGTGCCTTTTTCTAGGTACATAACTTGATATACTATGGTGCATTGGTTTGGATCAAGAGTCAAGGAACTTTGGCACCACAATTGCTAGCATATGGAAAACAAGATTCAATTCTTGAGAAAGGTGGCTTTGAAAAGTTTAATTGGGTCATTTGCGGGTATATACACCCACCTAAAATCCGGTAATATCTTTCCTTGCTCTTTCTCCATTGGTTGATACCTAAAGTGGCTTTGAAACAAGACATATGTTGGGTTGTTGGATTGATCTCCTTGTTTTCCCCTCCCATGGATTATTTGATTTATGATTGAGTGTATTGTCTCATTTAAGCTTGGGGGAGGGTATTCTATCATGTTTGGTGGGATGTTGATTCATATATGCCATGCACATTTGTATATGCATTTCCATGTTCTTTATCTTGAAAATCACAAAAAGATTTTTGTTTCTATCAAGGAAAATTTGCAATGTGTTTTCTTTTGCTCTTGCTTTGGACAGAATACTTTTGGACTTGTATTCATGAATGGCTTTCTTCCTAAATTTTAGAGGTGTGCACGGTTTGAGAATGTGTTAGGTTGACTATAAGATATGGTATGCTAAGCTAGTTGGCTAAGAACTTTGGGACCATGAAGCTCTAGTTCACTTGCTTGTGGTAAGATGGAGTTGCTCTCTATAGTGGATATGAAATCAAGAGTTAGTTATTGCTATCCCTAGTGAGGTATAATTGTTCAAGCCTTCATTATACTTTGTTGAGCGGCATATTTGGATCCTTGGCTATTGCATTCTCATATCTAGAACTTGACTTTTAGCTCCCAAGATCGCGACTGAGCCACTTTAGGGGATGACAAAGACATTTCTCTTTTTATAGGATTAATTTTCAATTTTTGGATTAGGTTCGCATTTGCCCCTATTACTAGCCCATTTGAGCCATATACATTCTTTTCTCTAACCACAATACAAGCCTTCCAGCCTTGGTTTCACTTATACTTCTACCTTTAGTTTGTGAAGCAATTTTGTTTTGGAGCTTGTTTTATTGTTTATGGTGAAAGTTTAGAATTATGAGTTCATTTGTAAATCAAGTATGTGTTGTATATAACATAATTTTGTGTTATTTAGATGAAATACTACAAGAGGGGGGTGAATTTTAGTATGGAGGTTTCTAATCACTTTTTGCGGAAATAAAAGAAACTAAACGAAAGTAGAGAAATAGTGCAAGAGAGATTTTACGAGGAAAACTTCCTAGGACAAATAGGAAGTGAATAACCTCGACCCCAAGGGTTTTTGACTCAAAACATCCCACTAAAATAGGCCGACGACTCTGTTACAACCTATAAGGAACTTTAGCCTCTATCGAGTTCCTCAATGAACCCGAGTTCCCCAATCAACTAATCCCTCAATCAGTTGATCACTTTAACTCTCTTTCTAACTTAAGACTTCGCTCAAAGCCTAACTCTATCTTTCTCTTTCTCTAAAACATAACTCAAAGCTTTCTCTTTCTCTCAATACAAAGAACTCACTCAATTTCTCACCCCAATACAAGAGTTCACTCAAACCCTCATAAATTCCCCATTTCAAGAGTTCACTCAAACCCTTGAACAACTCTCAAATACATATAAAAGATATAATGTATAAAACTAATATGTTTGACAATTTGAGATATGTAAGGAACTTGGAACCTGGAGGAACTGACTCAAAAACGTGGAGAGAAAATATAATTCTTTTCTACTGCTCTTCCAATTGAGATATACGCTAATTTGGAATGACTCACTAAAGTCAGACAAATTGAAACTAAAACTTAACTCTCCTTTTATAGCATGCATAAGACTTGACCACTATTCCCACTAAATCCTCCACTAACAATCAGTTCCCTTATTTTTAGGTAACTGCCAATTACTTGGGCAGTAGAGAAATGTGATAACGTGGTAGTCAAAACTTATGCACTACATTGAACGTGGAGTAAAATCAGGAAAACTGATTTCTTGGAGAGAAGATAAAGTAAGCAGTTAAAATCTTATTTGATGAAAAAGATATTTTTGTAAAATAATATTTAAGATATTTATTTTCCAAAAACAAAATAAAATCTTTTTGTAAAATAATAATCAAAGATTTGTTTTCCAATAACAGTAAAAATCTTTTTCGAAGACTAATTTTATCACATTTAAAAACTTTATCTTTTTAAAGAAAAATAACTAAATATAAACTCATTCATTAAAAGAACGTTACTTGTTTTTCTTTAACTGACCCATAAGGAACTGACTGGTCACCTAGTTCCTTCCAAGCTGTTAGACTCAGTTCCTTCTAGATTAAAGCTCCAATTTAGTTCCTTAGGCTTGTTCCAAACAATTTCTCTTGTCCAACATACTTAAATGATTCTTAGAAAAATATACTCCTATTTTTCTGTCGTTTTCATGTTTTTATGATGAAGCTTCTACTCCAAAGCTTCTAGTTCCTTCAAAGGAACTTCTCTTTCTTTGTTCCATTGAGGAACTGCTGCTTGTTCCCTTCGTCGAAGAACCAACTTCTAGTGCTTCTTAGTAGCTGCATATAAAGTCTAAAAGAACGTTTGAACATTTAGACTTCTTCTCTTTGTGTTCCCTTGAGGAACTCTTCTTTTTGTGTTCCCCCGAGGAACTCTTCTTCTTGTGTTCCCCTGAGGAACTCAAGCACGATTCTTCTTCTTGTGTTCCCCTGAGGAACTCAAGCACGATTCATACTTTGTAATCTTCAATAATGATCTAATTGGTAATCAACATTTTTCATGCTTTATGGCCTGTTCATGCTCTTCTCAATACACATATTAGTTAGATAATCATCATTTGTTATCTATCATCAAAACCTAACAACAACTCGTACAGCCGTACTTTTTAAAACTGGTTTACTCTAAACCCTTAAAAGGTATGCGCTGCCCCATAATTGAACGATCGTATAACGACTCATCCCATTTATTTATGGGTCTGCCCAGATTACTCTCCGTGAGAAACAAGAATGTTTCTCTCACCAGTCACCACCATCTAAATATACTAAAGTAACTAAATATACTAAAGTAACAACCGCTAACATCATCACTTTTTTTTCAAATTGTACATGTGTCAGCTTCTCCTTCATTTTTTTCCCGTCTAAAGTTTTTTTTTTTCCTTTTCATATTTTTAATAAAAATCTAAAATATTGATTGCAAAGTAATTTAATATAGTAAATTAAACTTTTTAGTTTTCATTACCTTTTCTTTTAAAAACTAAGGAAAACAAATCAACCTTTTATACACTCCATCTAATTACAAAGTTCGTTAAATTTTATTGTAGACGTGAATTTTCTTTTGTTTATATTATTTTATTTTTTTAGTTTGGTTTATGTTCATAGTATCGTATGTAATACAAATAATTATGTACATATTTGGACTGATATGTCTGTGAAGTTTACAAAAATACAAATTCTTTTATTATGCACGGGAGTTAATCTAGCTAGTAGCTCATCTGTTTGCAAGCCACGTGTATTATTTATTTTTTAGGAAAAATTGCGGAAAATAATACAACCTTTGACGGGTTCTTTTTTAATAATACAACCTTTCGATTAATTATTAATATTACAACTTTTGATGGGCGTTGAATTTTGACAGGCAAAAATTGGTTGGTAACTTATATTTATAGGTTACCATGCCATCGGTCGTTATTTTATTGGATGCGTGCCCGCGAACAGTTCCAAACAAATTGGGGATTACTTGAGGTTTGTTGGTGGCGATTGGAGGCAGCAGTCGTGGTGATTGGTGGCGATTGGAGGCAGCAGTCGTGGTGGCTGCTCTGCTTGTTGTTGGCGTGGCGAAGATGATGGGAGTTGTTGTGGTGGTTGGCGAGGCGATTCATGGGATGATGATTGATGGTGCTTGGAGGTGGTGCTGATTGTGGCGGCGGTGGTGATAGTGAGGGAGTAAGGACGTGGAGTTGTGAGGGAGATGCGGGGGTGGTTCGGTGCTGCTGTTGTTGGTTGGGTGGTGATGGCAGGGGAGTGAAGAAAACAGGGGAGAGGTGGTGGTGCAGGGTGGTGGGTGAATTTTTTTTGAAAGATTTAATTAAAATTATTTTATTAAAAAATTAAAAGTTAATTAAATAATTCCATTAGATGTCTCCATTGAAGCCTGGTTGTGACTTGTGAACTCCATTGAAGTAGATTGAAGCATACTCCGTTTATTTTATGTACTATCTGTTTAAAGGCAAAAAACTAAATTGACATTTTAGCCCTTCTTTTATCTATGGAATTGACAAAAATACTCTTTACAAGTTTCTCTCGGGGAGAAACTTGTATTTTTCCTTTATATATTAGACCTTGAATAACTGTGACGGGTCATAGAATTGCTCTCTCTTAGATTAATGAGATAACCATTGAAGCGCACTCAACGTTCTCCCATTGAAGCGCACTCAACGTTCTCCATTGAAGCGCAGTTGGCGTTCTCCGTTGAATCTAGTTCTTGACCCCCCATTGAAGCAGCTTCTGAGGTAAGTTGTTTGTATTTGTTATCATCATATCAAATATCCCTAAAATTATGAGATCGATAATTGAATCAAATATCAGTATAATTATGTATCAAATTTGCTTGCTTATGTATTGCACAACACTTTAATGTTAGGATTTAACTATGAAATCAGAGCTCTTTTCAGGGACGGGCCTGATTGTCACTGCATTAATTGTAGGGTTCCAAAATCTTAACTATTGCTTCTAAATTCTAAGATTATGAAACCATCATAACCAAAATAAAATAAGATTATGAGATTATTGAATCAAATATCCCTAAGTTATGTGTTTTTCCGAGATAATTCAATCAAATTTGGTTGCTAATGTATTGCACAACCCTTTAATGTTAGGATTCAATTATGAAATTAGACCTTAATTGTATTTATGTGCTTGTTTAGTCTACTTATTGTTGCTGACCGTAATTGTAACAGGTAAACTTTATTGCACATTTAGATTTGATTGGGGATTATTGAGGGGGCTTTGGCAGTGGTATCAATGAGCTCTAGATCCAAAAAATTTCGTCGTTGAGTAGGTGATGACAATGAAGATAATGAATCTAGCGGTAATGGGTATCCATCTAAAACTCCCACGAAGCCGTCTTTGAACAAAGCTGCAGCTTCTAATGATAAACCAAAGAAAAGCCACCAAAAGCTTCTTAGTTTTGCTGAAGATGAAGAAAATGAGACCCCATTTTCTCGTCCACAAAAATCTTCCTCATCCCGTCCTTCCAAGTCCAGTTCCTCTCATCGTATTACGTCTGTCAAGGATCGTTGTGGGTCTTCCTCGACTTCACTTCCCTCCAACGTTCAACCTCAAGCTGGCCAATATACAAAAGAAGCCCTCCTTGAGCTTCAAAAGAATACCAAAACCCTTGCTAGCTCTAGGCCGAGACCGGCAGCATCAGACACGAAACCTAGTTCTTCCTCAGAGCCTGTAATTGTTCTCAAGGGTCTTGTCAAACCAGTTCTAGAAACTGGGAGTGCTGGTGATGAGTTCAATGAAGACAAACCTTCAAGAAAAGAAGAGAATGCTTCTCTGACGAGGGAGAAGGATATGGATCTTCTAGATCAAGCAACAATTAATGCTATACGGGCAAAGAGGGAGAAACTTCGTCAATCACGGGCTGCAGCACCAGATTATATATCATTGGATTCTGGAAGCAATCATGGAGCTGCTGAGGGGTTAAGTGATGAGGAACCAGAATTCCAAACTCGAATTGTAATGTTTGGTGAGAAGATAGATGGTCCCAGAAAGGGTGTATTTGAGGATGTAGATGAAAGACCAGTGCGTGCTGGGCAGAGTAGTCTGGAAGATGATGACGATGTCGAGGAAGAGAGAAAATGGGAAGAGGAGCAGTTTAGGAAAGGTCTAGGCAAGAGAATGGAAGGACCTACCGAAGTTAGCAGAAATGCATCATCTATTCAACCTCAAAGTTACATGTACGCATCACCAATTTCTCATTCATCTGTTCCCAGTATTCCTGCTGGGCCACCTAGCATTGGAGGGGCTATTGGTGGTGTACAGGGTGCTGGGACAATGTCCATATCTCAGCAGGCTAAAATTGCCAAACAAGCTTTTCAAGATAACTTGAAGAGACTTAAGGTATGTGTAATTTTTTTCCTATTTTATTATTATTATTTTTTTTTTCAAGAAACTTGTCGCGGTATTGTGGAAATTCTAGATCGTAGTCAGGGGTGGAGATGTAGAGAGAAACAATTGGGTGGATAACTGTGTGAGACCCAACTTAAGATAAAAAGTAGAGAACTTTTAATTGCTAAAAAGGAATAGGGCAAGTAAATCAGAATACCTAAAAAGAATATTGGAGCAAGTAAATGGAACAAAAGAAGTATTACACGGACAATAAATTTTCTTTCTTTTACTTAGTTGTTATGGATTTGTGCTCATATATACATTTAATAAAATACAATCCAACCATTGTCACCTCATCACAAATGAACACTTGCTTGTGTTATTGTTTAACTCCTAAGGAAGTTAGAAAAAAGAGTATTCATCTTAGACTTGTAATCTTTTTTATTTTTTTTTTTAGTATATTTGTGATCAAGAGGCATACCCGTGTTCATAGTTTTTCCACCTGATAATGGGTGAATTTTATTTTTAACTTATTTGAAAACCTTGATTGATAAAAATAATATACTTTGGCTCAAGGTGGAGAATGAAATGTCCATTATCCGGTAAAGAATTTCCTCCATCTGCTTAAGAAAAGATAATTGTATTTTAAATATAGATGTTTTCCTTACATTTTATGTGAAGAAGTGATTTTTTCCTCACAATGTCCCTAGAGTCCTATGGGTTTGAGTCAAAGGACTGCTTCTCATCATATCTTAAAAAAAGAAAGAAAGAAAAGGAACTAAAGATGCTTATACTTTGGTGTCTTCTACATATATATGTTAATCTGAATTACAGTTTTTGTGGTCTAGTCTTATTTTTAACTTGATGATATTCTATTTTGTAATAAACTGTAAATACTGGTTATTTTATGCCAACTATCAGTAATGTGCATCAAGCCGTAAAAGAACTTTTTTTTGTTATTAAAAAAATGGGTGGTATTTTTGCTGAATCATGACACATGAAGTCATGATGGCCATTTGTAAGGACTGTAACCCTGGTGTAATTTTGTTCTGCAATACGTAGATGTTAGGCATCCGTTTCCACACGCCTTTTATGCTTGTGGACATAATAACGCTGCAAGTTTTCATTCTTTGCCTTGTTGTGTTCTCATGTGTTTTTCTTGATTTCTGCTCCCTTTCTTTGTTTTTAGGAAACACATGCAAAAACCATGACTTCACTGGCTCGTGTTGATGAAAGTTTATCTGCATCACTGACGAATATCACTGTGCTTGAGAAGTCATCATCTGATGCTGGAGAGCAATATATATTTGTGCAAAGACTTCGGGAAAAGGCTACACATACAAAGCTAGTATGTGAAGGCCCACATACAACATGTGCTGGCAGCCTCTCATTGGCTTACAAATTGGGGCCCACTTTCAACAAAAACCAAAATTTCAGCCAAAACTGGTGTCTGGCCCGCGCAATGCTCGGGATAATTTCTTTTACATTTGTAATTGAGTAGATAGGTTTATTCATTATTATTTATTTATTCATTATTTGTTTATAATTTATAATAGTTTCTCATTGAAAAAATTATTTATGAAACAACTTTTGAGTGTTGACTAATTATATAAACATGTTCTTGTAAGAAAATTATATAGACATATCCTTTGTATAAAATTTATAGTATAATGAAAATAAAGGCATAATTATTATCAAAATAATTAAATAACTAAAATTTATAACAATAGTTAATTTTTTTTGCTTGTATGTACTATCTCGATGATCATAATTAGCAAATAATAGGATTGATTTTTGATTTTTTTTTTTTTTTTTTTTTAAAGAATTGCAGTTATTAAATGTTCAGATCTCCCTCCAATCCATATACTTATATATTTATGAGTCATTTTTATTAAAATATGCTCATAGTTGAAAGATGACATGGCGAGGAAGTATAGATTTCCAGCCAAAATTTGAACTTTTTCCCAAAATTTCAACCGGCAAATTTTGAATTTGGAATTTTTTTTCCTTTTTTTTTAATTTTTTTTAAAATTTGGCTTTCCAAAAAGAAACCCAAAAAAAGGGGTTATGTTCTTCTCTGTCGACGCCATCTTCTGCAGTTACTCCAATTTTATTTTTATTTTTATTTTTATTTTATTTTATTTATTTATTTATTTATTTGTAATGTTGATCTTTTTCGCTAGGTTGTTTTCCCCAATTCATCCTATTGTTTATCTTTTCTTATAGTTAATATTTTAATTTTTATGCCAGAATGAATTATGATTTGGTTTGGTGGTGTTCAATAAGAATAATTGAAGCTTTATTGGTGTATAATCAACGAAATTTACATTCCATATAGTAGTTTAATTTTGTCTTGAACACTGATTTATGATGATTTTATTAACATTATAGTGGATTTGCTAATTTTTCACACCTAATTTGTTTGATGTAGCCATTAACATTCAAGTTCAATGGAGAAATTTTTCCCCCAATGTAAAAATATAAATTCTGAAATTTTACATTGTTGGTAAAAATAACATATGTTTCGTCAATAATGGATAACATTATAATTAATCATAGTCATTCAATATTCAAGCTTTAAGGAACATTCAGGCAATTAAAATGGCTGAAATGTCGATTTGCAAGCAAGACGTCGAAAAGAATAAGTCGAACACTGTATTTTCATAATAAATCAGTAACAAATACTGGAAACAAAGTAATACAAATACTTGAGTTGACCACTTATAATTGTTACTAAACAAATTTGATTGATAGATCACAAGTACCTAAGTGTAAATTATAACGGAAATAATTACATTAGTACCGCTTGATGTATAGAGACTCGATCCCTACACAATTTATTGTATCAATCTGTCCATATTGCGGTTGCAGAAACTGAAATCTTTAATACCACGTCTTTAGCATCGGATTAAAACCTATATATAATACGTATTCCACACGGTTTTCTTTTTTCCAATCAATGTCTGCGGTAGGGTACGTATGCCTTTGTATTTAGCCGAAGACCAGTGCGGGGCGACCCCGCCCTGTTCGATTTGTGCCCAAACAGTCACAAGTGTTTAATCTACGCACAAGTGTTTACTTCCTAGTATTCTAGTGTAAGTTGTTTCATTCGGAGACTTATATCAATTTTTATCTACCGGTGCTTGCATAGCCTAAGCTTTGAGTAATCGTCTCAATACTTGTCTCCTTTATGACAATTATTTATTTATTTTTTTTCTTGAGTGATAGTTAGAGCGCGAATTGAACAAGGTAGGGTTGCCCCATTGTTCATCCATAGTAAACTACAAGATCCCGATAACGGGACCCACACCACCAGCCTCACTCCGGCTGTTGTTAGAAAATAAATTAGTGGGCACCGTTGTTTAATTTATTCACAATATTTAAAATTTAAAAGTAACCAAAAAATTGTCCCTCCAATGAGACAGACGACATTATATCCCTTAGTTATATAATAGTGTCCCTTTTGTAGTATTATTTGCACGAAAATGTCTATGCCAATGCTAAATTTTGTATTTTATATTGCACCTAAATAATTCCCAGTTACTAAACTACAAGTATTTTTACCGAACTAAAATGATAATTTCTCGATTAAACCTTATTTTTACCAAACAAAAATGATAATTTTGCGATTAAACCTTATTTTTACCGATATATTTATATATATATATAAGCAACTCTTTTTACCAACGATTTTTATGACGGAAGTAACTACATAAGTGCTGCTTGGTAAGGGAAATTTAATCATTTCATTCAGGTACCGGGAACGTGAGCGTGCCCAACGGTGTGCATATAGGTGGTTGTATGTTTTCCGTAGGGATGCTTTATTTTCCACGCATTTTTGTTGGGTGTAGGCCTAATCACTTAAACGAGCGACGAAGCTGATTATCTTCTGGGTCATTTAGATGTGGTCACAGTAACAACAGCTTCGGGTTTAGTATCCCTTTTCAAGGAACTGGCTTAAAATTTTAGTCTGTGACCAAGTTTCCTCGGTTAGCTTCACGACCGCCCCCGTTCACTGTCGTACGACAATGAAATGGGTAGTTCGGTACCAGCATTTGCTTTAGCAGTAACTACATAAGTGGCGCTTGGTAAATGGTAAGGGAAATGTAATTGTTTCATGCAGGGGCGACAATGAATTCAAAAAACCAGTGTACCCGAAGTGCTAACCCAGTCTTGAGGGTCGCCTCAGATGGGCCCAAAGGCGAAGGGAAAGCCGTGAAACCGCTCATCCTCTTATTTCTCGCGTACTACAATAACGAGCAATGCAAGCCCAGTTACCAACAGAGCCTTCTCATATCCACCCATGAGTGAGTGACGAGTTTCTTGGAACATTTTAGGGAACGTCGAGAGCAGTCGAAATCACAAAGAGGAGTGCTTAGGCACATGTTCACTCCGTCTACCTTGAAATCCCGCCGACCGCCTAACTATATGTGATCAAGCGCCGGCGTAACAACTTCGTCCGAAAATGAAGCTGTACCGTGGAAATTCCTCTTATTAGCCGTATGCACATCGGTACGGCTTTATCGTTTAAGCATGGCATCGGAAGAAAAATACAACTTCGCAAGTTCGAGCGATTACGAGTTCGATAGGGACTAAGGAACGCGGATGTATTTTATGGTCATCGAGAAACACCGCTCGTGTTCCACACAGTTTTCTTTTTTCCAATTGACGTTTGCGGTAGGGTACGTGTGCCTCTGTATTCAGCCGATGGCAAGTGCGGGGAGACCCCCCCACCCCACCCCACCCCCCTTGTGCGATTAGTGCCCTGACCGTCACAATGTCAATTTTATTTGAATACCAATTAATGTTTACTGTTACTATAAATTAGAGTATGATACCGATTAAAGTTGTTTGTCACCAATACAATATCTTACTTCGTATTGAAATAAAATTTCTTGTCAAAATTTATTTTAACACAATTAAGGATGTATAGAGACTCAATCCCTACACAATTTATTGTATCAATCTGCCAATATTGCGGTTGCATAAACAGAAATATTTAATACCACGTCTTTAGCATCGGATTAAAACCTATATAAGATACGTATTCCACGCGGTTTTCTTTTTTCCAATCAATGTCTGCGGTAGGGTACGTATGCCTTTGTATTTAGCCGAAGACAAGTGCGGGGCGACCCCACCCTGTTCGATTTGTGCCCAAACCGTCACAAGTGTTTAATCTGTGCACAAGTGTTTACTTCCTAGTATTCTAGTGTAAGTCGTTTCATTCGGAGACTTATATCAATTTTTATCCACCGGTGCTTACATAGCCTAAGCTTTGAGTAATCGTCTCAATACTTGTCTCCTTTATGAAATTTTTTTTTTTTCCTTGAAATTGTGATAGTTAGAGAGAGAATTGAACAAGGTAGGGTTGCCCCATTGTTCATCCATAGTAAACTACAAGATCCTAATAACTAACGGGAACCACACCATATGATATCATCCACTGTCAAGATGATATCCTGTATTAGTTCCATGATATCCTGTATTAGTTTAATGATATCTTCTATTATATAGGTTTCATGGTATTATCTATAGCTTGGATGATATCCTCTATTGGCTCTATGATATCATCTATAATTTGGATGATATCATCTAGACACTAGATGATGTCATCTATTGCATATATTATATCATTTATATATATATATATATATATATATATATATATATATATATATATATATCCTCTAATGGCTATATGATATCATTTCTAGGTTGGATGATATCCTTTATTAGTTTGCTGGATAATATCCACCTAATAGAGGATATCATCCAGCCAATAAAGGATATTATATAGTCAATAAAGGATATCATCTAGTTAGTAAAGGATATCGTTCAGCAAGTAGAAATATCATCTTGTCAATAAAGGATATCATACATCTAATAAAGGATATCATCCAGTTAATAAATGATACCATCTAGTCAATAGAGGACATCATTCCGCTAATTAAGGATATGAAAATTCCGCATTTTGTCAGGTCGGACTGACGAAATATTTTGTTAGTCCGGACTAACACAATATATTTCTTATAAAAATTATTTCAGTGAATAATTTTTTAATTTTTAATTGTTAAAACTTTTATTCATTTATAATTACAGATATTATTGATCAAAGTTTCATTGATATATGTGCTGAAGAAAAACGTTTTACCTAAAAGAAAAATTAAGGGAGTATCTCACTAAAGCTACGTCGCTACTACATATAAAGAAAAGGGGTGAAGTTGATTGATAAATTTTACTTTTTAAAAATTTTACTTATTAATTAAGATTTTATGAGTACAAGTAAAAAAAAAAAAAAAAGATTTTACAGAGTACGGGTACTTAGTTTTTTGTACTTTGTAAAATCATTTTTTTTAACTTGTAGTTTCCTGAAAAAAAAAAGTACAAGAACTTAGTATATGAGGAGTTTTATTTTGTTTTCTCAAACAATCTATACAATAAATCATCAATGCCCTTTAAAACTAGTAGAATAAACTACAAGTATTTAAATTCATCCCACACACAATTAACAATTTACATTTCTCTATTCATTGTTTATTAGTACTAACTGAAAGGATTAAGGGCTCAAACTAATTGCAATCAACCCACAACAATGAATAACAAGCAAGCACAACAACTAAGAACAACCATGAAGAAATTAAAACAAATAATAGTGAGACAATGTTACCGTGGGAAAACCCAAGAACCGGGAGAAAAAACCCACCCTTGCACTATGGAGTAGTATTGATGATGAATGAAACCAAGATTACAAGCATGAATTTTATGTAATTCCAATTCTCCTCACAAATCTCCCATAAACTCTCTCTAAGTGTTTATATTTGTGAATGAATTAATAAAGAGGCTAAGAAAAATATATATATAGTCTAGGAGTACAAAGACAATCCAAGGGCTAGCAATTAAACAAGAAGAACGGGCTGAAATCGCACCGTCGAAACAGAGCAGCAGAGGGTTCGACCGAAGCTACCCCGTATTCGGCCGAACATGAGGTGGTTCGGTCGAACTCCCCCTGGTTCGGCCACACCACCGCTGGAAAATGAACTCGTGTAGCTACTGTAAAAAGGTTCGACCGAACCTCGGAATACCTTCGGGGTATGTTCGGTCGAACTTCTTCCAAGACTTCACCCTTACGCCTCCATGAATTAGACTAACTCCACACACATATCCTAACACTAACATATATCTATACAATTCTTTTCTGACATAGGGTTAATCGTACATTAATTTAAACAATTCACAAAGCAAACGATGGTACTATCAAAGCAGTACTTAATTGAGACATTGCTTTAATGAATGACAACCAAACTTGCAGCCTACTTACAAACAACTATAGCACAATAGATGACATCTTTCTCCAAATTTACAAGAGAATCACTTCTTGTCACGAGAGATTCACTTTGTTGCACTTGTCTAGTCCAAATATTGTCTTGTTCCTATAGATCTCCTTCTTCTACTATGCTCTTTGGTTCTGCCTCTTAAACATATCATTTTAGTTGTTGTACATCCAATTTTCCCAAATTATGCTTCTATATTAGCTAACATAAATCGATGGCGTGTCATTCTGAGATTTCTAGATTTCAAAGATACAATCTCGCCTAAATCAGTAACACCGAAATCATGTAGTCTAAATACATAAATAAATACCATCTGATTTCATGAAAACAAATCTTGGAAACTATTTCGAGACTAGTTATACACTTAAAGTTGTCACCGCTTATTTTGCTAGGTTTACCATTATAGATAACTAAATTATAGACATCGTAATCTGTTCCTGTGAATTAAATATATGATTATACACTGTCCCCTGCTTATGTTCAGATACATTCTAACAGCAAAATCCATATGAAATCATAGCAAAAGAAACCAACAATTCACATCTACAATAAAGCACCAAACAGTTCCTTTAATGAATCAAACTGACAAACTGTATCTGCATGATGTTTACATAAAGAATCTAGAAGAAGAACGAACATCAAAGTCACAAACACAATGAAACTTTTACAATAGTCTCTAAGGTCACATAACTCGGACATTCCGAGGAATGGAAGCAGTACAAAAATTGTCCTAATATCACAACAAAAGAAATCAAACAATGTTCTAAGAAATGTTTATTACAGTACTCTCTAATTGGTTTATTCTGAAAATTTCAAGTGGCTAACAGCTTGTAAGTTGATAGAAGCCATGCTTATGTACCTGTTAATCGCCTTTGGATTTTTTTAGAGGATTCACTAAGCTCTCGACATAAGTATCTGCATAACGTATTCGATTATCAACAATCCTTCCACAATTCTCCATCTGCTGGCTTTTAATGCTATAAGACATCAGATTCGATTCACGAAAATCCAAACGCAGAGCGAACAATTTACCACACTGTTCATCATAAGTAACCCTTGCACCAATTCCAAAATTCTTCAGTTCATTGAAGGTACATGCATCCAAACTCGAATTTTTGGTATCGGACAGTTGCCATCGGTTTTGGGGCACGCGCTCCCCATCATCCTCTCTCATTATCCATACGTCGGTTCTCTCAGCAGTAAAACAAAACACTGCTAAACATTTGCCAAAAATAAACAGAAACTTCTTCATTCGCCGGCTCTCAGCAGGCAATTCAACACATCGAAATTCCTCTCTTCCAAAATCAAAGGAAAGAACATGGGTGTTTTCGAACAGGTCATCTACATCTCTCACCAACCAATGCGCAGCCCCTTGACAGAAATGAGGCTGATGCAAATCACGCAATAGTATATCCCTATACATAACTGCATCATTCATCTGAACATTCTTGGTCTTCCAACAACGATCATTACATGAATAAACCTTGATCTCTGACGACAATTCGTCTAATTTGGAAGACTTTACTCTAAATCCAATCACCTTGTAATCTTTAGTGGAAGAATTAAACCCCAAAACAAACATGTCAATGGGTAAGACGGGCAGCGGACAAGGAGGAAGATCCAAAGATTTATTAACATAGGGGTTATATAACCTCAAATTTGGAATCAATGTAGGTTTATAATCATTATCTTGGAGCAAAAACAAACCATTCAAGGTTTCCCAAACCCTGCAATCTTTACCTATAGTAGTAATTTGGGCAATTTCTTCAAGCCTGAAGTTAACAACTCTGATTACTTGATCAGTCCATTCCAGGTGTCCAATTCTTTCAATTAGTATTAAGCGATTCTTGTAAGAATTCTCGTTGAAATGTTGAAAGTGTTCTGTAATGAAAGCAGGGGAATCGATTATTGTACGCCAAGATTTGCAGACGCCTCGTAATCGAAGAAGTGTATTCACCGGCAGCTTCTGAAATACCACCTTCCATATGTCTTCCGGCAACGCGTCACCGGGTTGGGTTTTCATTTTCTGGGTTTGCATTATAACGAGGGAGTTGGAAGAAAAGGGTTGTTGTGAAGAGAAAGAAAATGAGAGATTTGCTTGAGTTTTGGAGTGTTTGTGTAATCTAATTAAGAGATTAATGTAAATGAGTAAATGATTTGTGGGGTTTTTATAAGAGAAGCTCCAAATGTTAAGGGGCGGGAAAACTAACTACCAACTAACTGAAACAAAATTAACTAACGTTATCCCAAAAAAAAAAAAAAAAAAAAAAAAAGAGCACTCGTAAAATTAATTAACCCATTCACTGTAAGGAGAGGTAGTGCTCCCTAGTTTATTGGAACGAAATCATCTTTGTGTTGTTTGAAGACTCATAAAATCTAACTCGACTTAGAATTAATATAAACCCAGTCCACATTAATATTACTGTGGACCGAGCTTCCCACGTGACTATCACAGATTCTTTTTTGGGAAGCTTCCTTTTAATTTCCTCTCTCCTCCTGACATATCATTTTCTCTCTCTTCTTTCTTCTTTTTCTCTCTCCTCCTTTAATGTTCTTCTCTGTACACTTCAACAATGGTGAAGGCGAGAGAAGGAAGTTCATTAAAATCAACAATGGTGAAGGCGATACGATCATCAAATTGGAGTAAACGAAGAGGATTACGATCATTAGTTGGGCGGCCTTGCAAAGGTATTTAATTAGGTTTTTGATTAATTAGTTCAATTTTTGTGTAAATCGTCCGATTCTGTTTAATTTAACTTTAGATTTTCAATTTTAATGTTTAAATTTCATTTTTAAGAGGTATTTTTGTATTTGATTTGATTTTTAGGGATTAGTTTTTACAATAGCTTAATTATACTGGTTTTCCTCTTTCCTGAGTTCGTTGTTCGTAGTTTTAGTGTATTGATTTTAGTCGAAAAGCTTTAGAAATTGCAGAATGTGTGCTTATGCGTGCAAATATAAGAAAACAGTTACTGGACAAAATATTAATATAATTATAAGATATCAATTGTGATTATATCAATATAAATATGATTATAAGTTTCAATTGTGATTATATCAATATAAACGTGACTATATGAATATAAATATGATTAAAAATTAAAAATTAGATTATATCAATATAAAAATGATTATAAGATTTCAATTGTGATTATATCAATATAAATATGATTATAAGATATCAATTGTGATTATATCAATATAAAAGTGACTATATCAATATAAATATGATTATAAGATATCAGTTGTGATTATATCACATCTTTCATTAATAATAATGATCCTCATATTTATTTTGTATGTTTCATTTACAGAACCAAATCATGATACAGGAGAAACCACCGAACCAAATCATGATATCGGAGAAACTACTGAACCAAATCATGATATTGGAGAAATTACTGGAATTGGTGATCAGGTTGGAGTTTCTAACACTTCTAAAGCTTCTAATGTCCAAAAAGAATGTGGTGGAATAGAAGATTCAGAGTTGATCATGTATAGGAGGCGTAAATTCAAAACGATGGTTTTTTAAACTGGTGAGAAATCTGGTTCTACAGTTGGCAATGAATTAGGAGAAAAGTCTTTGATGGATTTGAAACAAAAAAGTATAGTCGTGCCTAAGAATTTACAAGTTGGAGGTCAACAAAAATCTTTAAAAGATACCATTGTTCATGATAAGAATGCTTTGTTCAAAACTAAGTGTTCTGGTAAAAAGTTGGTTAAGTTGTTTCAAAAATTGGATGACAATCGTCAAATTAAAGCTATTCATGATATTGGATTTGGTGGTTTGCTTTCTTTGCAATTGGATAGAACTAGTAATATTTTGAACCAATGGATTGTTGATAGTTTTGATGGTAGTACATGTTTGTTTAAAGTTGGTATTGGAAAGGAGTTTATGGTGAGTGAGTATGATGTATATGACATGTTTTGTCTTCCTTTGAACCATGGAAATGATGTAGTTGAAATTTCTAGGGGAAAAAATGATACAAACCCACATATGCATTTAAAGACTTTTTGGAGAAAGTATTTCAATTTGATTGGTGATAATGCTGCTATTAGTTTGAAATCTGTTCGGCCCCGTTTAATTTCTTTGAAGGATGGTGGTGAAGTTTTCGAGAAGTTATTCGTTTTGTACGCTTTTTCGTCTTTTCTTGCTCCTACAGCTTCTTCTATAGTTGATTTGCGACTTACATTGGCTGTTGATGATGTCGCTGCAATCCCAAGGTTGAATTAGTCCAAGTATGTTTTGGATCGATTGTGTTCTGCAACAAGGCTTTATAAAGACCAGAAGAAAAGGGGGAAAAGGGTTGAAAGCTTTGGTGGCTGTATAGTTATGTTGCAGTTGATTTTTTTTCATCATTTAAATGTGAAAAATTTAACTATTCCTTTCTCGCTACCATTGATTCAACATTGGGATTTTGATAAAGTTCAGAAAAGAGTAAAATTGGAACGTGATTCAGATTGTTATGGAAGTGGCATTTTGGATTGTACTTATCCTATTTCTAAGAATTTTGTGTTCAAGGATGGACATGTTGATATAAGCCAGAAGATAGGAGTTGAAAGCATTCAATCATTCAATGACCCTATCAAGCGTACTTCGAAGGGAAAGATTTACAACTTATATGTTACCTTTTTTTTCATGAATTTAATGCTCAATGGTTGATCATGAAGAGGGATGTAGAAGTTGTTGTTGAATATCACCTTGAGGAATTAAAAAAACTGAAAAAAAAATGATTGAAAATTTGGTGCATGATTCTTCCTCTATTACTTCTGCTCTTGAACCATCCCAGAGAGATTTAGATCTCATGTCAACTACTCTATTCCAAAAATTTATTGATGAAATTGTTATGATTTCAAAACTTGTTAGTGATTTGCCTGGTGGTTGGGATGATCTTTCTGATGTTAGAGGTGTTTCGGGGTTTTCTGATGTCCTGCGGGAGAGTTACAATTCCGAGACTGGAACCGGACGCCTGTACCTGCAAAATAACGGAGACTCCTGAGAGCTCCGCCTCCAACGGTCAAGTTAGTACCTGATTAAGGAGTAATTAATACGGAAATTAAAGTAATAAGACCTCTCTAGGTGAGAGTGTTTAATGTTGGTAATCTGCTTTGTTAGCGAGATTAGCCGGTTATTAGTGTTCCGTAATGTTTCTGTTCTTCTCTGTTCTCTTGATTTCTTGATTGCTTGATTCCCCAATTAATGAGGATTAATTAAGTATTTATAGTCTTGAGAAGCGTGCCACTCTCTAGGTTTAGGGTAAACCTAGGGCTGACCGGGCCTCTTGACAGGACTGGGCCTTGTTGGCCGGTTTTCCCATTTGGCATGGGTGGACACGTGGCGTGTCTCAATTGGTCCGTAGAGGACGTATCTGTGATTGACACGTGGCAGACATCTATTGGCCTTCGTGAAGGACACGTGGCGGAACCTGGTTGGTCCACTTGTCAGACGGTGATTGGTGGATAAAAATCCCCTAATCATTTGCCCCTCACAGGTGGCACGTGACTGGTCACGTGTCGCCTGTGACAGGTGTCGCACGGTGACAGGCGACGGCCTGCTACAGGTGTCACCTTGCAAACGACCGAGAGATTTTCCCGCCCAAATTTTGAATTTGGAAGCGACCCTTCGCCTTCTCACTTTGCCTATATAAGGAAGTGCTGACTTCGATCATTTTCACATTTGAGAACTTTGCGAGAACATTCGGACCCCTGAACTTGCTCTGACATTTCGGACCTTTTCTGCCTACCGCCTGTTCTGACAAGCCGACTGCACCGGATTTCCAGAACTTCATCAACCGTCACTCGTTCAGGTAACTCAGTTCTCTTACTCTTAATTTTCTTTTTATTTTTTGAAATGGCACCACGGAAGCACACGACACGACCTAAGTTAGTGATCAGCCGGTCACTGGGGACGGCTGAATCTAGGACTAGGAGTGCCGCCTGCCCTTTTCTGGACCCATCTTTGCCCTTTATACAAAGTCCGACTGTATCTGTGTCTATGCAGAACGTGATGGCCAGAACAAAAAAGACTGCTATGATATCAAACTCAGATGGCTCCTCCCAAAGGGTGCTCATTAGTGAAACATCTGACCAGGCGCCAGATGTAGAATTGAAACGAGGCGGCTGCCAAGCCGACAGTTCTGAGAGAGGGGCCAAGGTGGTCCCTTCCCATCTTACCGTTGATATGTCTAATTTTCCTCCTGCTCCTTCTAAGGGAGAGGAGGCGGGCCCCTCTGGGAGAGGGGAGGAGTCGTCCTCTTCGGACTCGTCAGAGGACGAGTCCGAGTCCAGCTCTTCTGGCCACAGTTCTCCAGGCTCAGAAGAAAGACATAGCCGCCTACAAGAGGCGAGACTTTCTCATGCAGTTGAGAAGGGGGACAATTGGGCGGAGCCGTCCGCCTCTTACAGAGAGGAAAACGCCCCTTACTACTGCATGGTACCCCGGGGCCGGATCACAACTATGCAAGACAAAGTGGAGAGCTTTATTGCTAACCACAGAATGGGCCCGGAATTTTTACTGTTCGTGCCGGATCCAGAAGACACTGTCGTCTGGCCGGCTGGTACCAGCTATGATGACGGCTGCTTTGGCTGCTATGTGGCGGCCATCAAAGCTGGACTGCGCTTCCCATTACATCCGGCTGTTCAGCGGATTTTAGATGGGTATGATTTGGGGTTATGGCAGTTAGCCCCCAACTCTTGGGTAAACGTACTCGGCTATGTGGCCGGGTGCGAAATGTACGGGGTGGAGCCAAGCTTTGAGGCTTTCGCCCACATGAACTATCTCAGCCGGACCCCTAAGTCGGGAGGTACCGGCTGGTATCAACTAACAAGCCATAGGGGTTACCTCATGACGAGAGGTAAGGCGAACAAATGGAAGGATTGGCGGAACACCTTCCTTATCATTGAGGGTTCAGACACGGAGCTGAACCAACATTTTAACAAGTGGAATAGGGATCCGCCTCTTCTCGCAGGCGGCCGAAGCATGCCGCCTGTTCCCCCAAAGGCTAAAAGAGAGATCCTAGACAAAGGACTCTTCAAAGT